GCTCCTCTCCATCTTTCTTCCTCTCCGGCTTTCATTTCTTGGTGATGGAGAGCAGGAGACGTTTGGGTGTGAGATCCTGAGGGCTTTATGTTGCAGCAGCATTTTTTCAGGGAAAGGCGAATATACTTAACTCTTGTTCTGGTGGATGACCGACTGGCGTGGTGTATACATACACACACACACACACACATATATATATACACCTTCTGAGTGGCACTCGCCATTCCCAGTGCACGTTGCTAGGAAAGTGGCAGAAAATGGTCTATTTTGTGCTCTTAGCTACGTATCATTACCAGGGAGTCGCGGGTCAGCCCCAGGCAGGCGATCCAGCTCACCACCGGGCAGTTTTAAGGCACAAAGCAGCTCTTTCTGCCCTGATCAGAGCACGGGATCAGCAATACCTGTGGTGCTCTGGGCAGCCCCGCGGTGGGACCGGTGTGCCGGGGGGGAATGCTGTGATCTGGAGGCACCGATGCCCTGGGAAATGGTGGAGGCAGGGGAATAGATGGAATCTCAGAGCATCCCCCTCCCCCTTTCCCTGGGAGAAGAGGCCCCCATCTGCTGAGGATGGATGTGTCTCCATCCCCTAGTTGATGTCCACCTGCCTGCACCAGGGCTGTTCATCCTTGGTGTGACAGAAGTGATGGGGGGTAACGTTATTTGGAAGAACCCCAGCTCTGCTTTGGGAAGCGTCTACCATCCCATAAAATCACAGGATAAGACAGGGACTGAGAACATTTATTTTTCCTGGTCGTGAAGCAAACGTGTGGGGAACCGTAGGCAGAGTTTATTTTGTCTCACAGCGGTGTGTGTGGAAAGGTTCCCCATGACTACAGTGAGGTTACCACACGTGAGGGAGATGTGGAAACCCAACCCGCCGTCCCTGCTCATCCTGTGAGCGGGGCTCCAGCCCTCACTGGTGGATCTGTGCTTTCAGAAAGCTTCCTCACGCCTTGAAAACAAACAAAACTCTTTGGGGGCTTTCAAAGGGCTGTTTAAAGGAGCCCCGGGAGAATAACTGATTGTGGATTCAGAATGATGAAGTGGTTTGTGGAACGGTGAAATATAGAGGCAAATGCAGGAGAACTCCACATTGCAATTTGTCAGCTTCTTCAAACCCTGTAACAGATTATTCCCCCCCTCTGTCGCTCCTCACCTCTCCAATAGGAAATTAACTGATGCTATCACTAAAGAAATTGTTTTTGCCTCACAAAGTAAAATTGATACTATAAAAACCCGCCAGCAGTGTCTCCTCCTCCTTTTACATGAAGACAAATCCTTTCTGTCACCTACTGAAATGGAAAGATAAAGGCTGAGCTTTAATAAAGAAGCTCTAAGCATGAGGTGTAGAGGGAGGGAGCAGGCACGGCACGGGGAACCGCCGCGGCAGCAGGTGTAATGCCCAGGGATATCCAAGTGTCCGAAATACAGCTGCTGGGACCTGCGTGTTTAACGCACACCTTTGCACCCCAGAACTCGTGTCTTCAGGAGTTCGTGCTGGTTTTGGTACCGCTGGTGTCTACCTTTACTCCTTTCAGCTTCTTGGGCTTGTTTGTTTGGACTTTTAAAAATCTGATTAAACACACAGGGAGCTAAACATCCATTTGTTAGGTGATAACGGAACGCACGGGATACGGGATGTGTTAAATCTTAACAGCAGCAGTCTCCTGCTGGATTGCCACTCCAGCATAAACTGCATTCACTCTTTGTGGGATGTGTTTTCGGGGGAAACCTCTTCTGCCAAACTGTGGGGTTCAGGGCAGAGCTGCCTGGATGCTCTAAGGGACGGTCCTGTTAGGAGGTTTCTTTGACTGGAGGTTTAGGCAGAGCCCTGAGCTGCCTGGATGCTGTAAGGGACAGTCCTGTTAGGAGGTTTCTTTGACTGGAGGTTTGCAGCCATCCCCATCCGTCCTGTGTGTTCCCCCCTCATCTCTTTTGTGGATAAACAATCACTTTGTTCTGGCATCAGCCAGGAGCCATCAGCTTGTGTGTAAACTGCTGTCCTTTCTCCTTTCAGGGGATATCAGAAACCTGCTAAAGTGGATCAAACAGAATCTGTTGAAAGAACGACCAGAATTATTTATGCAAGGGGAATCCGTGTAAGTACAGCTCTTACGAATCCTCCTTGGGTTTCCCTCTTCATCCCCACGGTTTGGGGTACGTTTTTCCTGTTGGTTGCAAGAAACAAGTTAACAACCATGAAAACATGGGATTTTCTAAACTGATAGCGGGAGGTGTCCCACACTACACCTCACCCTGTTCCATGGAGAGTGTCTTTTCCAGCCCTCGCCCCAAATCTTTAAATCTTAAATGTGAAGCAGGGCCCTGTATACTGTCCCTCCGTTGTCACCTGGAAGAGCGTAGCGCACGTATCCTCAATTCCAGGAGTTTTAGCAGGTCTGTCCGTTCCCTGCTGACATCACTGGGACTGAAGCAGTCACTCAGAGAAACGCCGACAAAATATTTCTTCTGGGAAATGTATTTTTATTGTCAAAATGGGGCCAGCCTCGTGGAGGGGGAGAAAAAAAAAAAAAGAAAAAGCCAAGAGAAATGGAGCAGAGTGAGCTGTGCGAGCCATCCCTGACTGCGGGGTGGCGCTGGGGGTGTTTAACATTCGTCACGGATCTTTGTGAGCTGAAGCGTGTGCCAGGTCCCCTGGTAACGGGAGAGACAATTGCAGGACACTGAAGATCAAAGAGGGGGAATCCCTGTGCCTGTAATCAGGGGCACGGAGAGTGGATCCCGGGTGTTTAGTGCCTTTGGTAGGGGCAGCGGAATAGCTTTCCCTGCCTTCCCATCGAGCTCTCTGCGCTCGACTGTAGCGCGTGGGTTTTAATTACCTGGCTTTTCTACATGGTAGGGAAATGTAGTCATCTCGGAGCATCCTCTGGAATGGTGCATTTTGATTCAAATGAGCTCTGGGATTGCTCCTGCCTCCCCTTTATTTGATCTAGAAAGGGCACAGACTGTACCTGTTTCCACCTCCGTGCTAGGATTCCTTTTTCTCTTTGGCTTTACAGGCAGCCAGCTTGTGATCTGTGCTGCAACATCCCTTGTTCTTAACTATTTGTGAAGCTTTTTAGCAGCCTTGTATACTAATTATTTTTCTCTGTTCTGCAGGAGGCCGGGAATTTTGGTGCTCATCAACGACGCAGACTGGGAGCTAATGGTCTGTACTCCTTCAGTTTGACTTTCTTTGTTGAAAATACTGCTCTGTCTGTTCTGTGGTCTCTCTCAGAGAAGCTATTTCCAATTCTTGCCCCGAGCAAAGCATCTCATATTCGAGGGGGAAGGGGCAGGCTGGGATCTCTCTCCCTGTATGACTGTTGGGAAGCCTGGAGCCTTTCTCTAACCTGCTGAGTCTCATCGGCCGGTGACTGAAGAGAGATCACCCCTATTCCCTTGCCTCTGGCTGTGGGATTCTCACCTCTGGCTGCTGGCAGGTCTGCCCCACGCGTGGGGAACAGCTCTGGGGGGTACCAGGCAGCTTCACAGCCCCGGGCAGACCCCCTTGGCTGGAAAAAGGTGGTGCTGTAGCAGGCGAAGGCAGCCCTGAGGAGATTTCTGCCCAAGCAGGCAACTGGTAAAAAATATCTTCCCTTTTCAGCCCAGCGTTGTGCTCAGACAACAAACAGCCTGTAACTATTTTCCTGCCTCAGGCAACCACCTGTTGTGGCAAAACCCTGGTCCAGAAAGTGGTGTGGGGTAACGAACATCAGCTCCTTGTCTGATCCCTCACCTTTGCTTCCCTCAGGATGAAAGGATCAGTCTGTCCCCTTCTGTTCTCCCTAAAACTCACCATCTTTCTATGAGCTGTTTTCTCTTTGCAGCTAGTATTTGGAAATGACATTTAAACCATTTCTCATTTTTTTTCCTTGGCCTGCAGGGTGAGCTGGATTATAAACTCCAGGACCAGGATAATGTGCTTTTCATCTCGACATTGCACGGCGGGTGAACTCCTGGAAAAACAAGAGGATGTAAATCCCAACCCCTGGGCAAAAAAAATCCAAACAAAAACCTAAACCCACCCAAACCTCTCTTGAACTGCCTTGTGCCCGGTCTCTGCATCTTCCCACCGCGTTCACTTGTTACTAGCCATCCAAATAAAGCCCCGCCAGCACACAGCCTGCTGTCTGCCACAACAGCATCCATCTTTTGGTCCTCATTTCACCTCTCCTGACTGCACTTCCAGGTACCCTAACGAGCAGAGAGCATCTGCGGCGTGTGGGACTTTGTTTTTCTGTGACGGGAGGAAGAGGGTTGCCGAACCTTGAGTAGGACGGTGTGTCTTTGCAGGCAATGGGGCGTTCTGGGGGAGCTGTGCCTGCTTTGGGGCAAGGCTGGGGGGGCCTCTGCGTTGGTGCTGGGCACTGGGGTTCTTTTCACACAGTGGGTGGTGTTGGTACAGCCCGTGCACCAGCCGCGGGGACGATGAGGGAAGGGCGAGACATGAAGTGCAAGAAACAAAAGGTGACTTTACTAGTTTTTTCTCGGAGGTGACAGACATTACAGCTTGAGAGCCCTCTCTAGGAGCTTTCCACTCGTCATGATGGTTTATTTGTGGGAAGTGGGAGAGAAATAGGCTTTTTTGGTTTGGTTTTTCTGATGCCTTTGCGGCCTCCCTCCTACCTGAGCTGAGGCAGGGTGAAGTACTAGCCCACGGACAATGTCAATTTATAACCATTTGGTTGGAGGGGAAACAAACCCGTGCCTGGCCTGAGACAGCGCGGAGTGATAAGGGCAGCAAATTATCTTTCTGTCAGCGTGATGGACAGAATTGATCAGCCTGCCTCGCCTTCCGTGGCTGGGGAAGGGCTGGGGCTGCAGGGTTTGCAGCGCGGAGACCCCCCTGAGGAAAGAAAATCAGTGGCTTTAACCCTTTCCATCAGTGGGAGGGTTGGGGGGAGGCTTCTTACTGCGCACCCTGAGGAAGTCCTGTGAGCGCAGCGGAAGTGGGTGTGCTCGGCTCTGCCGGGGCATGGATGCTCTTGGCTTTCCAGAAGTTTCCTCGGACAGACGGACCGGCCCTCCTGCCAGCCGGGAGGCCGCGGGGCGAGGGGAGGGAAGGGGGCAGAGAGGATGGCGTCAGTGCCAACAGGTCCAAAACGTGCTGCGTGAGCTTCCAGGAGCATCCCACCGGGATTGTCCTTCCTGCTGTCCTCCCCCCCACCTTCCCTGGCTCACCTGCCTTCTGGCACGGCTCCGGCAGCACCCGGGGGTCCCCGGCAGCAACACTCCTGCCCCAGCAGTGGCTTTCCCCGGGACAGGGGGGCTCTCCCCGGGGCAGGGGGGCTCGCCGGTGCCGTGAGCCCAATGGGTACCCTCTCAGAGCTGCACCACATACTGCTCGCCCTGTCCTCAGTCTCCAGGAGCTGCCCAGGAGGAGCTGGGGGGTGATGAGCAGCACAGTCCACCAGCCCCTGCTCGGGCAGCCTGGCCTGACCCCCCCCCGGTGCTCCGGAGCAGGAGCCTTTCCCATCTCATGCCTGACGGAGGAGTTTCTCCGTCTGACGCGGAAGGGAATGCCAGGGAGCAGTTCCCCCCCCGACTCCGGTGACTCCTCTCTCACATTCACTCCACCACAACCCCTGTAACTGAAAGCACCCCCAAAACAGCGCCGCTGCTGCGTCTGAGAAACCCTAATTTCAAATAATAACGAACCACAATATTCAGCTTTTTCCAAATCCAGCCGCAGCCACTCCAGTCCAGCTTGTTTGTAAATGACACGGACGGGCCGAGGGCTCTTCTCTGTCCCAAATTCAGGGCTGTATAAGCTTTGCTGGACCAGGGGAACGGAGCGGGGGGGGTTTCCAGGTGTCGGTAGGAGCTGGCTGAAAAACAAGGAACCTGTGGGGCGTGCAGCTCGAAACGGGCTGAAACCCAAGTGGGAAAAGGCAGGTTCATCTTCAGCGCTGCTGCTGCCGGCCCGGCCTCTACGCTGCTTTTTTGCCTTAGGCCGGGCTTGTCTGTTCTTATTCCCCCCCCTTCCCTCCAGCTGTTTGCTCCCAATAGGATGAGTTCCTTCCCCGGGAGGTGTTCTCCCCCTTCCTAGCGCAGGTAGACCCAGATGGCTCAGCTCCTGCTGTAGTAAAAACTGCCAATCATTGCTAAAAAAAAAAAAAGCTAGAAATGGGGAAGGTGGGAAGAAGCTGAGGGAAGCCAGGGGAGGGGGAAAGAGGGGTACAGCAAAATCCTGTAACAAAAAAAAAAAAAAAAAAAGTTTCTGGAAATAAAAGCCTTTTAAAACATTCTCTGCCTCCAGCTTTGTCCTAGATAGGCTCTTGGTGAAATTTTGCTCGGATCTTGTAATGCTTCCCTCCTCCTCCTGGGTTTCCTTGGCAGCCCCGGCCGAGTCCCTTGGCTTGAGGAGTCATAAAGCCTCTCTCTGTTCAAAGCTTCCTCCCGGCCCCGCTTTCCAGGGGCTGCTCCGGGCCCCGCCGCCCATCCCGAACCCCGGCCCGGGCCCGGGCTGACTCTCCGCCGAGCCCTCCCGCTGCCCGAGCGGCGGGGACCGGTTCCCGGCTCGGCGGAGAAACCCGGAGAGCGGCCTCGGTGAGCCCGGGGTGAGCCGGGGCGGGAGGAAGAGGAGGGTACCCCCGGTACGGAGCGGTCCCCGCCGCCACCCCGGGGCCGGGCGCGCTCCGAAATAGAATAAATGAAATTAAAACGCAATTTAAAAAAAAAAAATTAAAATGAAAAAAAATGAATACCAGAAGGCTACCCCGGGATGGAGCCGCAGGGCCCGGCTCGGATCCGTCCCCGGCGAAACACCGGAGCCCCCGGTTCGGCCCCTCCGTCCCTGCCCGGCCCGGTGGGGGACCCGGCCGGTGTTTGACGCATTAAGGACCGAAACCCCCGGCAGCGCCGAACGGTGCGAAGCCGCCGCCGGTGTTTTATTTAGTTTTCCTTGAAATCCCGGCCGAGGTTTCCCCGGGCTGCAGCCGGGAGCGGTTCCCGGTTACCTTGCCGTGTTCCCCCCCCACGGGCCCGGGGAAGCTCCGTCCTTCTTCCTCCGGCCCAAAGCACCTTCCTGCAGCCCCGCCGGCGGAGTTGAAATCTCTGCTACAGATGTCCAGACACAATTCTTGGTTCGTACGGCTCCATCGCACAAGAATTGCGTTTGGACAATCAGGAGCGGAGATTCCCGTCCCAGGGGCTCGCGGGATCTTCCAAGGGGAATCCGCCTGGAGCCTGGAAAAGAAGGGACACAGGGGGCACCGAGCCGGCTGCCCGCCGCCGCCCCGCTCCCCCGTTCCCCGTTCCCCCGGCCCTACCGAGCCCCCGCTTCTCCGGCCCCCAACAAGTTTCCAGCGCGGCCGCGGCGCTTCGCATCCCGGTTTCGATTGAATGCCACCGCGAGGGGTTTAATTTGATCAACTCGTTTCTTACCCCTCCGAAAAAAAAAATTAAAAAAATAAATTAAAAATTAAAAAAATAAAATTCAGCCCTTATTAAAAAAGAAAGAAAAAAAAGAGAGAGAAAAAAAATTTAAAAAATTAAACCAACATCAAGGGAAAAAAAAAAAAATAAAAGAAGAAGGAGAAAAAAAAAAAAGAGAGCAACCCAGTGTGGCCAGTCTGCAGGTGTATTTACATACTGCCAGCAGGAAGTCCAGGGTGAGGCACC